GTTGTTGGAAATTGGAATTGGGAAATTGGAATGGAATACGTAAATATCAACAGAACGAAGTCTGCCTCAGAGATGCAGGCAAGGAACCATGCCATCGCGTTAAATGAAGAAAACTGTGATGATCAAATACTGTTATGTTTGTGGTTGTGGCGCCAACACACAAACACAAACACACATACACACACATACACACACAGCGCGCGCACGCACACACACACACACACACAGAAACGCACACACATCGGTATATACACTCACATGCACGCATACACACACGAACACACACACAAACACACACACACACACACACGAACACACACACACACACAAACACACACACACACACACAAACACACACACACACACACACATACATACACACACACACGGCGCACGCGCGCACACACTTATACACACACACACCGCAAATGGCGCACAAAACGAGCATAATTAATCCGCCGCGCGCCTAGGCTGGTTAAAAACAGTCATTAATCAACACAAGACCTCAACGTTAAGTGCCTTCCCTGAATTACTTTAAGTTTGTTACAACAGTGGGCCGCGGTGGTGTGATTTTAAGCAATATAAAGGGACACAAACAGCTAAACTAGCGTTGTGGTAGTAAGTTGCCTTTAGTCAGTATGTAGATAGTTCGTTCCACAATACTGGCCCATGAAACTGTCAACTGCCTCTGAAAGACTGCACGATTACCTGTGGTTTGTACAGCAGTTTAGAGATATTCACATTTTCAAGTGCTTGAAGTGTTCACGACTGTATGTATTTGACCGCTCAGACACTACATGTAAGTGTTATGATACGGTATAGCACGGTCATGGACAATTTGATGTAGATGTTTGTGTGATACGGGCATGCTAAGGCTAATGGCGTGTTTATGAGTTGAGCATTCCATATCGCCACATAGATATGCTATATCGTAACTTATAATTGTAAAATTACTGATGTCAGCAGCCTTGTATAATTCCAAGGTGCGCTGAAGGTGGCAGTTCTAGCTGTGCGATTTGAGTTCCTTTCTAACACTGTTAGGATGTTTTCTGAACACAATAATACAGTGTACACACTGGTAAGTGGCCAGTGATTGGCAAAATGGCCCCCAGTCTACTGAAACACTTCTGTCAATGTTATCGTTACGTCTAATTAACCACCATTACCAAGAATGTCCTGAAACTGAAGACCCAGACAATACGGTAAAAAAATAACTAGCAAATTAGTCGGAACCGAAGTTTTGGAATACTTCCACGTCTACAAATGCGTGCGTAGGGATGGAGTATGAATAGGAACGGAGGTATTCTTCTCCTTTTCAGTTGAAGAGTTTGAATAGCGCGACGCGAAAGGTGAGACTTGTGCTATGTCTGTACATCAATGCACGAATGTTAAGACGCTGTTGCTAACAAGAGGTCCTTTCCACGGTTATTGTGAGAGTTGATGATGTATACGGCGGGGCGTGTTGTGGGTGCGACACGGTACGGTGGCCGTGTATGTGCCCGGACTTGGGACGACCGTTCACCGCTAAGTGAAGACTACACGCGCGGGGAGATGTTGTGATTCGGCCCATTGTTCCCATCCTGTTAGACCGTTAAGCCCCTCTCACACACCAAGGTTGGCTGAAGTTCGGGTGCAGTCTGATCAGATCAGGGCCACGCCTACCTTTCTACATATACGAATATACGTATTTAATCGAATTTGAGTTACATTTGAGTCACATTTGACCCCCAACACTCCCGACCTTCTCCCGAACACCAGCCAACCACCTGCCAACCATGACCGAACTTCACGTCCACTCCAGAATGTTTTAAACAGTGTGAAACATGTAAGCAACCTCGCTGAACACCAGCCAACCACTGCCCGGACCTTACTCCCCGACCCTACTCCTGGCCATGGTTTGGGGAGTACGGATGGTGTTCGGGAGGCCATATTCGGCTATGTATGACAGGGGCTTTAGACTCAACCGCAAGTTTCTCTGTAGTGGAACCCGAAATGTTTGGTCCGACCGCAGAGAAGTCAATAATCTTTTAAATCTTCTAAAAAAATTAAATATACTGCTGGAGCAAATAAGTCAGAATATTTGAATTCCACACATTTCAGGACGTACGGACGATTCCATTTTGGACTTATGAGAAGCTGACCCCATTCCCTATTCTTGCTGTTGTAATTCCCCTTCTGTGATTACTATTCACCTACCACATTATGAGAGGAGAACTAGATTATGACAAATACAATCCTTACCTCACTGGAATAATAGTGTGGGTTGAGAAACATATATCTGAGTAGATGCTTAGGCTTCGGCTTGTTTTTTGGCGTGTTTTAGACGTTTTTATCGCCTCAGGCGGCAAGTAGACTTGTATTGTCAATTTGATACTGTCTTGCAGCCACCAAAAATCTGCTTGGGGATTAATATTTGATATCACAGGACACAAATACTAGTAGCCCACAGACACTTTGGAAATCATTGGTTAAAGCATTCGTTTCCATGGAATGACACAGACATCACACGTGAATTAATCCGCTTTGTTTTTTACGTACACCCGTAATCCACTGTGTCCCTCCCCCTTTCGTGGCAATTTTACATTCTAACAGGTGTGCGAAACAGCGCCCTCCGACGGAGTTGTCTGTATTGCACGTCATTGTAGTAAAGGTTGTTTATCTTTCAGATGCATGTTTTATCCTTCAACTGTCACCTTTAAACCTTTTATTCTTTCACACTTAGTCCTATTGTTTCGTTTTCAGAACTCAACAATGGCACATCCTTTAACTGTTATTAGAAACGAACGTTCAGAATTCGCCAGGTATTTGCCAGTATTCTTGTGGAATAGTCGGTTTGAACATATACGTGACCGTGGCTGAAAGTCATTTTAATGTCGTAGCATTTCATTGTCGACTATTCAATGGTGTTTATTATTTGTAATCCCTGGAGAGATATTGTGGATCATTAAACGATGACCACCTATTTATTCTTTTGAAAGACGCATCCGCCTTTCCAAGAATTCTCTGTTTTTGTAACTTTTAGGCGATGTTTATGTACAGAGTGTTTATCGATGTCTTTTATGCCACTTTAAGTTCCTGGGATTGCATCAATAATTTCTATTATTCCGTCGTTCAATAGAGAAAATTCCTGAACGATTTGTTGTTTTCTTTTCAATACGTTTGGACGTGGACTCTCAGAAAACAGGGCTCATTGTACCACATGTATAAGATTTCACTACTTAATAAGTTTATATAACATCCGTCACAAGTCAGCTTTCGAGGATAAAATTTGCCAATACCCGCCGTGAAAAATGTTCCCATCGCTTTTCTACGCTAAGGTTTTCCTCAGAGTTTATGCAGGGAGTTTAGGAGGGGATTGTCAGAAGAGGCCCAAAGACCCACTTTGTCCCACCTGGACTTTGTCACGCCATATCTTAAAATAATCAGGAGACATGAAGGTATGATTTTATGGTAGTGGCCTAATTATGCACAGAGCTGCGACACGAGTTTTGCAGCTTTCTCCTCCTATATTAGAGGTCTAATGTAGAGAGCTGAGTTAAAAGCAGCTCCTCGGCCTAGCTGCCCGGCGGGCGCTTTACCTGGATTTGTACGGGCGACTGAGCAGTGTTCCCCGCCCACCCACCTAACTACAATCCCCTGGTCACTCCGCTCTGTGCGGGCGAGGGCCACTTTTTTGACCTCATTTTCTTTTTTTCCCTCCCTCTGGTGATGTCCCCTCCCTGTTTTTGTTTGGGTAATCCTGTCCGTATGTGTAGTTCTGCCAGCTTTAGAGTTGAAACAAAACGTGGTCCGTCCCACCCATGGCGACGCTAAACTGTGGAACAACGCGCTACCTGGGACAGTCAATGGACCTACTTTATTGCATGAGAAAACAACATAATCCAAGGTGTTAATAGAAGGTGGGCAAATTGTTTTTACTTCTTAATCCCAGCTTCAATACACAAGTAAGTAGGTTTCCTTCTACCTACATGTGGTTTGTACGTACAGCAGCCACAGGACACAAGATCAGTCAATCACACAATATATGCTTCATGAATATAACCCGTCGCAAAAAAACAAACTGATTCTTACAGGTTGTTCTCAGATGATGGTTGTGGATTAAATCTGTCAAGAACTTTCCGTAAACTTTTACTACAAGCGCAAGGACGTTCTTTTGGCCCCGGAGTGGTTTCGTCAACACGTCCGGGGGTCACGCAAAATTACCTGCGGCTTGTCAGCGGCGCGCCTAGCGCAGAGCGAGGCAGGGGGCGGGCCGACGGACGGTACAATTGGGAAAGTAATTTGTTTCGCGCCAAGTAGCCATGTCCGAGTGAGTCCTGGCCTGTCAGATACTACAGTCTTCTCTACAGGCAGCGCTTTATCTGCATTCAGAGGAGCAAAGAGGTAATATTCTCTCATGAATGGAATGTCATACTTGATCCATATGTCCTAGCATGTCCGGGAGTGTGTATGTGGACTGTGTATATTGTCCACCTCATTGCTTCATTTTCCTGTTAATCACATATGTCTGACTGCCGCCACGAGTAAGCCACAATTTACCGCCGTTCGAAGTGCCCATTTACAATTGCGTAATATATTCTACCCCGCCGCAATAGCGCTGAGGGCTGTTGACCAATGGGCAGCAGCGAGAAGCCGGCAGCAAACTTGTCTCTGCGATTTGTTTTTCACGACGAGGAGTGATTGGTCTTTTGGGGATACCGCCCTCCCATTCGCCCGTGCTCGCGCGGAGAGCGCTCATTCGCTTTGTTTGCGGGACAGTTGTTTTTTAACATCGGGGGCTGTGAGTGACGTACCCATCTAATAGAAAGGGTGAGTCGGGAATCGCTGCCAAATTCTTGGCGTGCACATCTCTGGTATTGTCGTGGTCACATTGGCCTTTTGAATGTTAGGTTACAGTCGACAGACCACAGCCAGCAACCGAGCGCGAAGGAACGTGCCAGACGCCCGCCCCTGCACTTCTCTTCTTTCTACCTGAGCCCAGGTTATTCTTGATTTCTTTCCTCTCTCGTATAAGACTTTTGGGACGACTAGTTGCGTTTTTAAGCCTTCGTTGTGAAAATTTTGATTGATTTTTGGAGAGTTGTTGTACTGACGTGTGTTTGGGAGGAGGTCTCGCCGCTGCCTGCCACCACCCAGTGGACGCGTTTAGAGAGGTCACAATGCCAAAGTCATTTCTGGTGAAGACGGTGAAGGGAAAGGACGTTGTGGACTCTCGGCATAGAGAGAGCGAGACCCCGCACACATACTCAGGTTTGGGGACCCCTTACCGACACAGATGGCTCAATCAGAAGCACTTGGTATAAGACTAGGCTGCACTGGGTGGTAGGTTGACACAGTGACTTTAGGAGGGCTGCGCACTTTGCCTACCTACATCATATCGACTATTGGCCACATCTGGCTAAGGTGTCCACTTCTTATCGTAAACTTGTGTGCTCATTTTTTTCTTCTCTTGTTTGCCCGTGCAGAGCCCTGGAGCTACACTGAGGGAAGACTCGTCGATAACGATAGCGCTTTCCCAGACGACCAGAGCGGCGACAGCGGACTGAGAATGGCCATGTTCGGGACCCTGGCAACACGCGCCGAGCTCGGCGGCAGCGGCAAGACCACCAGCCCGCAGCCAGGCGACAGGGACGGCTCCGGTTGCTCACTCGCTGCCCGGGTCGAGCCCCGCTCGTCCGACAAGAAAGAGCTAGCTTTCTCCATAGCGCGAATTATGGAGCCGTCGCCGAACAAACCCGCCCCCAGGCTGTCCGCCGGGTCCGCCGTGGACTCCGCCGGTGACTTCCGACGCGCGCTCCCGTCCCTGGCCCACCCAGTGTTTCCCCCTTTCCGTGCTGGACCTGAGCGGCGCCTCGGACCTTCGGAAGGGACTCCTGACGGAACACAAGTCGTTCCGTCCGGCACAGCTGTCCGCCGACATGTCAGAAGCGAGCCGTCGGAAATTCTTCCACACGGACTTTCGACTCCCGACCCTCCGAACAGACTTGATCAAACCCTACCCGATCTACTACAGTAGAGAACAGGTCCTTCGCGCTCCGACGGCGCCCTTCGCCTTCTACGAGAACATGAACGCCGTGCGGTTCGTAGACTTTTACTCGAAAGAGACGATCGCCAACTTTCCCCTGTCACTGGACGGAGGCAAAGTACCGAGCGGTAAGTCGGTGCTGACGGCCCGAGGCGGCGTGACAGACAATAAGGGCATTCAGTACGGGACCAGCCCGGGCAGCATTCAGATCAGCCCCACCGCAGCATTGCCGCTAGCGAAGGGCGGGACGGGACCAGAAAAAGCTCGGGGCGGTCGCGGGAAGCGTGCCGCCAACAAGCAGAAGACGTTCCCGTGCGAGGTGTGCGGGAAGATCTTCAACGCGCACTACAACCTCACCCGCCACATGCCCGTGCACACGGGCGCCAGGCCCTTCATCTGCAAGGTGTGCGGAAAGGGCTTCCGCCAGGCCTCCACTCTGTGCCGGCACAAGATCATCCACACACAGGAGAAACCGCACAAGTGCCAGACCTGCGGCAAGGCCTTCAACCGGAGCTCCACTCTCAACACACACATGCGGATCCACGCCGGCTACAAGCCCTTCGTCTGCGAGTTCTGCGGCAAGGGCTTCCACCAAAAGGGCAACTACAAAAACCACCGGCTGACGCACTCCGGCGAGAAGGCGTACAAGTGTCACATCTGCAACAAGGCGTTCCACCAGGTGTACAACCTCACCTTCCACATGCACACGCACAACGACAAGAAGCCCTTCACCTGCGACATCTGCGGAAAGGGATTCTGCAGAAATTTCGACCTGAAGAAGCACATACGGAAGCTACACGACGGCGGCAGCGCCGGTACCGCACCGGGCGCGACTTCTCCCAGCCCCAGCCTCAGCCCGACACCGACCGCACCGGACACACAACATCAACTACAGGAAACAACACCTCCAGCCGCAGAGTAAGTCACGGACAGTATGTGAATGTCTACAAACGAATATCTTCTCAATTCAGGACTGTAGATTTTGCTTTAATATCTCTGATGTGAATAGAGTGAGGACCTTCTTGTTTGAAGTTGTTGGTCACACTGCAAGTACAAGTACAAGTGCCCATTGGGAATGACATTGTAACGTAAGTACCGCACTTCTGACTCCGGAACTGTGTAGTTGTGCCTGGTGAATTTTGTAGTGAGAAACTCTGTAGCCGTACAGATAGAGACAAGTCAGTCCGCGTGGCCTTGTCCCGGGGAGCTCGCGATAAAATAACTCGCCAGGTAATCGCTTGTGTGTTAACTAGCTCTCTTATCATCGGTACTTTATATATTCTGAGGCCCCACTGATAACAAATGATCCATACAACCCTTAACGATAAACGGTTTCATGAACGAAAATTAACCCAAATTCGGACTGCGATGAACATTTGACGTCTGAAAATATTGCTTGGCAAGTTGCCTTTTTTTCTTGTCACTCCTGTCTGTAGTGCTACGCTCCAATTATTGGCAATTTCAGAATTCACGCCACGTTGCGTCGCTGTTTGTTTGTGTGTGTGCATGCCACATGAAGCCAGCTCTGCCATAGATCAGCGCCCGATGTTTGCGAACGGTTCGGCCTCGGCGCTGACTGTCGCCATTGTTCGGCACCGGTTCGGGGGGTTCCGTACAGCCCCGGGCCACGTCGCTTCGTATCATATCCGGCGGAGATGGCCTCCCGACCCACGCGGCGCTAAACGCCTGTCAATCACGCGTGTGTTCATCTTCACCTAGCCTCGACCAGGCTTCGGGAGAGGCTGGAAAGAGTAGAAATTGGCCAAATAGACGGATGACATGTCAGAGGAGTTGGTCCACTAAAAGAGTATGTAGTTTGTCGCCTTGAAGACTAATAACTTCCCTGGCATATCATTTGTCTAATTATGCCAATTTCTACACTTTCCAGATCAGCTTCCGAAGCCTGGTAGAGGCTAATGTTACATCTCCAAGCAGATCTTTTGTTGGCTGCAAAGGCAGTATCAAATTGGCCAGGCAGTATCCATGTGCGAGGCAAATTGGACTAGAGTAAAAAAGATACCAGTACAAAAATGTTAAAACGCCCAAAATACTGAGCCAAAGCCTAAACCACTGCTTGGAGAGTATACCCCCCCCGTTCCCTCGCCTGGTCTTGACGACCCTGTCCATCGGCATTGTCAGTCCGCTTCATTTAGTACCAAACGGTTAGCTTTAAGCACCCGGATGAGCAGGTATTATCTTAATTTCCTTCAGGTGAATTCTTGGCTTGACTTCTGTCCCGGAAGAAAGACCACCTCGCGAAAAAGACTTAAACTCGTTACTTGTAGTCCAGAAAATTGGCAGATTTCGCCAGCCGACATTTGTCGAAACGTGTCTTTGTGACGGTACGGTGGTAGAAAGGACGGGAAAGAAAACGTCGAGGTCTTTTATATGGCTTTGAAAGGAAAAGGTTGCGTGTATGGCTATCTTTAGCGCAGATCAAAATTGTGTAAACTTGTGTAAAGCATTCCTAATTTTGCTATCACACAAAGGCTCGGAGATAGCAATCTTTGCTCAATCAGAATCCTATCAGCTGTCGCTGCACCTTTTTTGCCACATAAATCGTCCACAGAGCTAGTCAGTCGTGTCTAGAGCCGTGCCCACAGGTCATCACAACCCGCTAAGCTTGGATAACCTTCAAAACTTCCATCACCTTCCCTCACCCTCCATCCGCTCCAAATATGGCGGCTGCCGACTGATGGGAGAAACCACAAACAATTTAATATTAACGACTCGGTGGGGAACTCTGACAGAAGTGCCACATGGGAGGTTAACATTCTCCGACCTCGCATGCAAACCCTGATGAAAACCGCGGGTCCTGCATTTGTTTGCGCGGATTCTCTCCAATTTCAGCCGCCACTCCGTGCGAAAGGCCACAAAAATGTCGCGAGCGAGTTCCGCGCGGGTCGCACCTCGGCGAGTGATCTGTCTTGCGAGAGGCGCGCCCGACAGGAAGCTCGTTTGAAGCGACGATCATTCAAAATTCTTTGTTTTGTGAAAAGGGCGAGGAGGTCGGAAGGAAGACAGGCGCACGAGACTGATATATACAAGGTCAAAGTCACGAAACCGACATGGTTTTTGTTTCATCTCAACCCCCAAGAGCTGTAGCCCGTTGTGAACATGCGCATAATGTTGCTCGCACACACGGCGAGTGGATACCCGGCCACATGAAAGCCACCGCGGACGGCGTTTGTCAGGTTTACATGTAGTTTACTTGAAAAAAAGAGCTGGATGTAGAAAAAGATGACGATTTCTGTAGATAGTCTTGGTGAAAAGCAGAATTAGTAAAAAGAAAAAACATATATAAAGTTTTAATTGGTTACATAACCAGGAACTAACGAGAAAGAAAAGGAAATAATAATATTTATAAAAACTTGGTGATTTTCGAGCATTCTGATTCGAAAAATTTTATTGTTGTCATGACAGTGTATATGGACAGGATGGTAAGAGTACAAATGTGTACAGGTCTTTGTTGTTTAACGTCATGTACTGAACGTAAAGTGAATTGGGTGTATACCAAAGTATTACATGTATATAAAACAGAACATACAGATTGTCTGTATACGTGAAATATCTATACCTTCATGTATGGCTGTCTATATGAATGTACTGATAATGATAGACGGATATTTATAGAGTCAAAAAAAGGGTCTTATTCCGTATATTGATGAATTAGTATGTGTATTTCTCGTTAACTTAAAGTGTGTCAGGATATGACATTATTAATATTGTTGCTTTTGAGTCAAATAAAAAGGATCTCAGTGAGAAACTCGATGTGTCACTTGTCTGTTTCCGTATGCCAGTAGGATAGTAAAGGTGTAAGGAAGGAAGGTGAGACAGTGGTTTAAAACTAGTCATAGCAGAACAATTCGTCAGCCTGAGTTAGGTTTTATTCATATTTTCTCTGCCGATGGCTCATATTAAAAACAAAAGTCACAAATACAAATATTTACGGAGTGGATGAAAAGGACTTCCACACTCAAGACGTATAAAACATGTGCGAGGAAGGACCAGTTGGTGTAGCCAATACTGCCTCCGTGCGAAGGCCTCTGAGTGGCATGGTTTGTTTGTTTGTTTGTTTGTTTGTTTATTTATTTGTTTATTAGAGAGCATGCACATTAAACGGTTAGCGATAAAACAAACGCAGAGCGTGTTTACTAACAATAGAAAACAAAAAAGGAAACCAACCAACCAGCCAAACAATAAACAAACAAGGAACAAACACAAACAGAGAGAACCTACACAGATCCTTTATATTCTGTACTGAATTATAATATGGATAAAGTAATAGATAAAACAGGTATATTGATATAACAACGATAAGTCATTGAACGAAATTTAAGAATTTACTCAAAATTAAGCAATTTAAAAATATTCATACCCTCATCATTTGCTGAACAAAACACCACATAAAAATAGTCCGTTCAACATTCTGTAAAATACCAAGCTGTCCAAAACGCACTTTTTTCCGGAAACTATTAAAGAATTCAAATCCCTCTTTCGTGGCACACCGCTTGGCAACCTTGCTTCTTTCCATGACAAACCAACCATTCAGTTTCTGCCGGAAGACATTCAACTAATGAACATTCTTCTTTAGTACATTTTGTTCGTTTCATCCTTGCTATTTTTAGCGTATCTCATATCTCACGGAGTATAGGACTGCTAGTTTAAAGTAGAACTGTCGTTTACCACTTAGACAGAAGATGAAATGCGCCAGTTCTGCATCACAGTGCCCGCAAAGCGTGCTCATCCAAATTTAATATCCTCACACTCCCGCGGTTTCGTGATTCATGCCTATATGCAGTGCGTTAGCTTAAACAGATTTCTCAAAGCCACAATAAGGATAAAGACTTGACAGTCACCAGTGCCCCTTTCTGCTGAAGGGATGACACGGCGGTCCCCTGGTTACAAGAAACACACAAAACGCATTAGAAATAAATCTTTTAACGCACTCTCTGGGCGAACAATGGCCTAATATCCCGCAACAATGGGAAATTGATTTTTGACAACGGTTGGAACACGGAGAACATATGTGGGACAGGCGGCGTCATTAGCAAAATTGGGCGGCTGACATTTCCGAAATAAAGGCAGACGTTGATCAATCAATCAATTTCCTGCGCGGTTTCATTATGAAGAGGCTAATGAGGATCCGAGGGATGAGCCGGGGACGGTCTGTTGTCATGTCATCGTTTTATGGATAGTCTGACTGAGGATATATTTCTTGTTTATGGTGCTTTTACGTGTAAAGACAACATATGGAAAATGCGTAAACAGGGATGTAACAGGGAACGGCTTGAGTAACCCACTACCCATAATGCCAGCATGTACGTGTGTTACACGGAAATGTAATATCTTTGCATTTATGACATTATCTTATCCTTTCTTCTCATTTCTAACACAATAAATGGAGTTGGTTAAACAGAAATATCCGTTTATAAACCATCTGTGATCCCCTATGAAGATAAATTGAAGAGACACGATTTGACTTAAGAAAATGACAAAAATACTCGTGTATCAATGTGGATAAGTAAATAACTTTACAACATTAGGTCTCCGTTCCAAACAGTGTTGTAAAGTATGCATTATCTGCTATATATAAAATACAGGCCACCGTAAGCCAAGACGAGTACATTATAAATGGGGACCCTTAAAACAAATCCCGAACTAGAAGAGTTGTGTCAAATGTGTGTAAACTTGTGTGTAAAATCTGTGTATGACAGTAAGGCTTAATATGTCGCCATACAAGTATGGCAGTTTAAAAAGCCGATGTTCTGTCTGTTTGTACGTGAGTTAGAACGGGGTTTGCGGAAAGTTGGTTCCTGACCTACAAAAGGTCCTGAAGACAGAAGAGTCCGTCTCCCTGAGTTCCAGCTGTTACAGCGGCGGAGTTTAAACAAGCGGTTACCGGTGAGGTGTATTGTAATGGCATGACAGATGTGGGCGAGGTAACAATACCAACCTGAGAGATAACGGGCAGTCCGCTACACCGGCATGACACGTCTATGGACAACAAGAAAGGAGATAATACCATGTTGTAATCTGACTGTCATACAATAACGTTTGGGCCTGGCGTCGTTTTCAGGGTTGAATGGAAACACGCCGTAACATGTGGTGAGGTGGTACGCCGCCAGCCAACAAACTTACCACACTTTATAAGTCATTTGTCGACGGTTTAACTGCAATCCCCTGCTTTTGTTCGTAAAGTAGCAAACATTTGGCATGTCTTCACAGAAATATTACTTAAAACATAGTCTTTTATCCAAACAAGACTGTGATATCTACCATACATTTTCTTTCATGTTGTTGTTGGTATCTGAAGCGGCAAAGATTATTTTTCGTCACGGAAACGGGTTGTTGTACAAATAGTAAAACAAACTATGTCTAAATTATTGTCGCTGTCAAACGACACTTATTTTCTTTTCATCACCTCTATGAGCAGCCATACTGTAATAAGATCATTAAACATCGGTCTATATGTACGAACGTGTCACAGATAGATCTGAGATTTGTAAGAATTCATCATCATTTTGTTAACATTTGCAAAGACCCTACTGATTGCTTACTTGTTTTCTAGAAATACATCGTCAAGTGAACACTGGCGCCACAATCTTCAAAATCTGTCATCAAAAATGACAAATGACGGATTTATTCGTTAAAAACGGTTGACATCTACATTAGGACTTGTGGTTACACTGTGGCCATATGGTCCCCTGTCCGCCCACCTGTCCTGACCGTTACACCAAAGCATCTCGCTTTAAAGGCACCAAAA